CTTCAGAAATGACAGACGTCAGCTCACAACCAAAGTCATTTCAGAGATGGAGCAAGTCATTAGGTTTTTTTTTTTACAGTATAATAGCTTGCAGGTTATAAACATTCGACATTAACACCAACTTTGTGCATCATACAGACATCACTAAGCAAAAGTGACAACAACATGCATTGGTCAATGTTAAGACATGGCATTTTTTATTTGATTTACCAGCCTGATCTCACGAGAAAACGTAAGTATTTTACGTTTTGCCAGTTTAATGGCTAATTCGTATGAGTTCAGTCTTACGAAAATGTACGATTTTAAAAAGGAGGTGTGGCACCCAACCCCACCCCTAACCCCAGCCGTCATTGGGGGATGAGCAGATCGTACTAAATTGTACGAATTAGATCGTACCAATTCATACGAATTAGCCACTAAATAAAAAAGTTACGAATTGCCGTGGGATATACATGACCCTGGAACACAAAAAACAGTCATAAATGCACAATTTTGGAAATTGAGGTTTATGTATGATCTGCTTCTGATGAGAATTGATTGATTTATTTTGAACAGTATAATCCACTCAATTATTCAAACACAACAACAAAACATTTTGTGTAAACTCAAAAATAACAATTGATTTTAAAATTTTCCCCCACCCCATTACCCCAATTACACATCAATCAATAATCTCTTCAAATAATTTCATCTTTTATCCTTGCACATTACACTCAATGGCCACTTTATTAGGTATACCTGTCCAACTGCTCGTTAAAGCAAATTTCGAATCAGCCAATCACATGGCAGCAACTCAGTGCATTTAGGCATGACATGGTCAAGACGGTCAGTGGATCTTTTGGTCATTTGATTTTCATTTTAGAGACAGATATTGAAAAACGAGTCTTTTTTGATTTTCTTTTTAAAGTTAAAAAATGAAAATTGAAATTCAATGCGTTTTTGATTTTGTTTTTTGAATTTTAAAATGAAAATAAAAAAATTGTCTCGTTTTTCTTTTTCATGGTGAAAAACAGAAAAGCAAAATTCAAAAATTATTTGATTTTTTTTTTTTTTTTCAAAATAAAAAATGAAAAAATAAAATCTCCAGGAAACAAAAACGAATAAAAACGTGTTTTTTATATTACGAAACCTGATAGGCCGACCCATTTACGGTGACGCAATACTGACCTGCTAGCCTACTATTTTTTCCCACTTAATAATGTTATGAAGGTATTTTCTTGTTATAACTGGATTTTGTTAAGACACATTTTCCTCATTAACACAACATATTTCTCATATAAGAGCCGGTTTTATGCTATATATTTATTTTTTGCTAGCATGTTTTAAAAGAAACAACCTTCATTTTGACATTACATGCAAGCATTATGTTGCTTTACTGAACACTTTTCTGAAAAGAAAGTTTTAATATTGTTAAAACCATAATACTTCCACATCCCAAAGTTTTACCACGATCATTTCAAGTGAGGGAGGCATCGATACAATTGTTCGTACGTATTTCAATAAGTCATAGTATTTTAAAATAAAAATTAACTATTAATTTTATCTGAACAGAGGCATGCTGCACAAACACCCTGATAACCATCCTGTGTCTTTTATAAATGGACTATCACTGAGCTTGCAGATGAGTTGCGTGTGTGTGTGTATATATATATATATATATATATATATATATATTTGTACGAATTAGCCACTAAACTGGCAAAACGTAAAATACTTACGTTTTCTCGTGAGATCAGGCTGGTTAGATCATGTTCTGCTTTACTGTGGAGACGTGCAATATTTTTTAAAATCACTCGTGCATTTTCAGTAGCCATATCTGTACTGTAAGTAAACATTTTGAGGATTATCTTTGCTTGAACTGACACGATCTAAACTTGTTCATGTGAAATAAGCTGCTGCTCCCTGGCAGGTTTGAGCTACCAGAACTGTTGCTATGACAACAACTCTCAGGTGAGTTTTGAAGAACGAAGCGATCCTGGATCGTGTCAAATCATCAATAACCAAAGCCAGCTAACTGAGTAATCCACCTATGAAGAACAGACCCTAGCATTGTTTTCTGCCTGTCCTGACAGATCTCCTGTGTTATTGGATCACACTTATGCACTTCCCCTGTTGTTTGCTCCTGCTTGACCCCTGCCTGTATGGCCAGCCTTTAAATAAAAGCTGCATTTGCAACCTTGATTACTGTTGTCACGCCCTTATCATAATAGTTTAGCAACTGCGATAATTATAAGCTGACAAGCATCTTTCACAGGAGATAACGAGCCAGAAAATCCACGTCACCTATAAAAAGGAAAGTGGTTTCAGTGGAAGAGCAAGTTTATACAGTCTGGTGAGAGATTATAAAGGTGTTTTTGTAAACCGATGAATCACACACACACACACACAGGTTTGTTTCTGTGAATTATGTGGACATTCCATAGGTTTCCATTGTTTTTATACAATGTAAACTGTATTTAGCGACCATCTCTCCCTCATTAGCATAAACAGCAGCCCTGAGTGAGAAGCAGCCGTCTGTCCTTTAGCCATTAGAGTGTTTGAGCTGCTGAAGATAATGTCAGCATAGACTAAGGGGATTATTGATCTGGAGTTTTCAGAGGTGGGTAGTTACGAATTACATTTACTTCGTTACATTTTCTTGAGTAAAATTATAGGGTAACGTCGTGTACTTTTTAAGTATATATATGTTAACTTTTACTCTTACTCAAGTGAATTATAAGAGAAAAATCAGTACTCTTACTTGGCTACATTTTGCGACGTTCCTCCGTTAGCAGACTCCTATATTAATATGGCTATTTTTGTTATCCATGATTTTTCAATCAAATCAGATGAACTTTTATTAAAAAAGAGGCTAGAAAAATTGTGAAGCTCTTTTATCATTATTATGTTTTAATTTTTTATTATTCAAATAGCCAAATTCTGCTATGTGATAACCAAAGCTGTTTAATGGAATAACTGATTATCGCAGAACTTATTAGTCATTCACACTGTTAATCATTAAAAATATAACATTTAAACTTTATTTTTTACATAAAATCATAAAATGGTGTATATATATATATATATATATATATATATATATATATATATATATATATATATATATATATATATATATATATATATGAAAAAGTCTTTAAGACCAAGCAGACTCCTTTATTAAAATTAATATGAAACTAATATGGCTATTTTTGCTATTTATGAATTCTCAATCAAATCAAATGTGCTTTTATTACAAGAGAGGCTAGAAAAATTGTGAAGCTCTTTTATTATAATTATGTTTTAATATTTTATTATTCAAATTCTGACTGGACGGTTGAATGTTCTGGCCAGTTTTTATGTTACGGCTACAATAGGCTACAGTTTTTAACTTAAAACTTCCAACAGATTCCTTTTATTTCTAATGATTTATGATCTAATGAATTTGCATTCGAAAAATAAGTATTTATTATTTTTTCTTGAATATTTTAAAATAGGAGATAAAATAGGAAATGTTTTGGCACATTAAATGTGTCGTTATGATGACGATCTAGCTATTCCAGCTAAAAATATTGCTTAAAATGTCACTAAAATACAGTATTTAAATCTTATACATTGTAATTGGTGTGAATAACTGCAATAAGGTCCACTTTTTGAGAAAAAGAACCATCCCTTATACCAGGCTGGCTACGGGTCTGCTATGGGAAAACCAAAGCTGTTTAATGGAATAACTGATTATCCCAGTACTTACTAGTCATTCACGCTGTTAATCATTAAAAATATAACATTTAAACTTTATTTTTTACATAAAAACATAAAATGGTGTTTTATGTAGTATATATATATATATATATATACTCATTTTATTCTAGGTGAAATAAAACAAATAACTTTCTCCAGAAGAACTAATATTATAGGAAATACTATAAAAAAAATCCTGAATTTGTTAAACAACATTTGGGAAATATTTAAAAGAAATCTCCCCCTCTCCATAACACCATCACCACCAGCCTGAAGCGCTGACACAAGGCAGGATGGATCCATGCTTTCATGTTGTTGATGCCAAATTCTGACCCGAGCATCTGAATGTGTCAGCAGAAATGGAGACTCATCAGAGCAGCAACGTTTCTCCAGTCTTCCATGTCCAGTTTTGGCGAGCCTGTGTGAACTGACTAGGGAAAATTGAGTTGTTGATATTAGCAATTTAACAAGTGAAGACTGAATTGTTGACATCAGGTATTATTAAGGACATTCTACGAGACATGTACATTTTCACTGTGACCTTTAAGCTTGTCCTTTTCCAAAAAAAAATCATACAACTTAACAACTTAAACTTGCTATTTCTGAAGTTATTTTTCTACATAACAGGTTTTAGTATTAAAGCTGTAGCTTCAGTTGAGCTGGGGACAAGGACAATGACAGGGTTTGTACATTTGTAAAATGTTTTTAATAAAGAAAAACAAACAGAGGACCAAATGAATGGCATACTCCTTTACAGAACAACTCAGAGAAATCAACCATCAGTCCATTTTAGACATTTGTTTGGCATGAAACACATTTTATTCATTGTATTTATGTTTTATTTCAAGAACAGATAGTGAATTTCTGGTGGAATGTCCCATTAGCATGTAAACTAGTGAAAATTTAACTGATATCAAGTATTCTTATCATTTTAGCTATAGTGGAAATTGAACTGCTGATATCAGGTAAGCAGCTTGCAGTAGTGTTTGTTGTCAGAAGAGGGCGTCAGTGATGCTGAGGGGGCTGGACTGGAGGTGTGTGTTTCTCCTTCACTTCATCTTCATCTCCCCAAAAGATCATCTCGTGAGCTCCTTCTACTTCTTGAGACGCTCTTCTTTACTCCTCTGCGTTATTGTTTCACAGTGAACGCTTTTTTGGCGGTTAATAGCGTTCGCGCGTTTCCGGAATTCGCGCGGTTTGCGTTCTAATCGCTTTGAAGTGGATACAATGTAACAACCGCGAGCGAGAGATGCACAACTTCTGACACAAGCTCCGATACAATGGGGAAACTTCACTCCAAACATGGTACGACTTCCATAATCTCTGCATATTAAATGTACACTTATGTGAATTGTTTATGAGTGACTTTGAGTTATACTAATTTTGTTTTGTCTTTTTTATAAGGGCTTTGATCTAAAGATATATAATGGCTTTAATAAACTCAACTTCTTTTTTTTCTTTTTTTTTTAAGAGTGTTTAATTAGTAATATTTGTTTTGGGCAACACTTTATTTTTAGGTGTCCATATTAAGCATATTAACTAAAGTAGTAAGTACTCTTAATTATGTATAATTATATGCAAATATTTTCACAAAGATGGGTTGGGGCTGGAAGGGCATCCGCTGCGTAAAAACTTGCTGGATAAGTTGGTGGTTCATTCTGCTGTGGCGACCCTGGATTAATAAAGGGACTAAGCCGACAAGAAAATGTATATGCAAATATCCCTGAACCTGACTCTAAACATATAGTAAATACATGTAAGAAATAGTTATTCAGTAGTTAAATTATTTTGCATTGTAAGAAGGACACCTTACGTGTACAATAACGTTTAACTGTATTGTAGTAACTTATTTGTACGTTTTTATTCACTTATAATAAAAATATTGACATATTTGTATATAAATATTTGATTATCATTCATATAGGATATTAAGTTGACTTATTTGTATGAACTTTTGCAGCTTTTTACCAAAATATGAAAAAGAAATCATCAAAACTTTAAATAATTTGGTCATTTTTAATCATTCATGCTCTTAAAATGCTCATCCATTTTCATAAATGCATAAATGTTATTATGAATAATTATCAGGGGTTTGCCTTTAGCTCTAAAAGATTTATTCCCTTTAAACTTTTTATTTATTTATCATAATTTTAAAGGAATCTTTAGAATATTTTTGTTGTAATATCGTCTTTCATAAATTTTGCCACACCTATAGACTCAAAAAAGATTACTGCTGCTTGTTCAAACTACCTAAAGTGTTACATTGACTTAATCGATTTGTGTTGGGACAACATGAATAAATTGTGTGGAACCCTGCATTTTTTTACAGTGTATGTTCAGTGTGAACCTGACTCTAAACATATAGTAAATACATGTAATAAATAGTTATTCTGTAGTTCAATTATTTTGTACTGTAACAAGGACACCTACAATGACGTTTAACTGTGTTGTAGTAATTCATTTGTATGTTTTTATTCACTTATAATGAAAATATTAATATATTTGTATATACATATTTGAAGATCATTTATTTAAGATATTATATTGACTGATTTGTAAGAAGTTCTGCAGCTTTTTATCAAAAAAGGAAAAAGAAATCATTAAAACTATAAATAATTTGGTCATTTTTAATCATTCATGCTCTTGAAATGATCATGTTCAAAAGTGCATAAATGTTATTATGAATAATTATCAGGGGGTTTGCCTTTATCTCTAAAACATATAATGCATTTAATCTTTTTATTTATTTATCCTAATTTTTAAGGAATTTTTAGAATGTTTTTTGTAGTAATATTATCTTTCATAAATGTAGTCACACCTATAGACTCAAGACGATTACTGCTGCTTGTTCAAACTACCTGTTTAAAATGAGCTGAAACACAATTCTTGTCATTTCTTTGGCCAATTTAATTCTTTTATGTTCAGTCTGTTAAATCTGTAAACCATTAACTTAAGCGTTTTGTGTTGGGGCAACATGAGGAATTGTGTTGGTCCAACTACCTGCTTAGGGGATTTGTAGTTCCCACTTTCCTGCATGTTGTGCATGCTTGGGATTGAAGTAAGAGGGGTAAATGTTGACAATAAAAGTAATCTCAGGTGTTTAAAGTTAATAGAAAGACTTGTTAGAGTTTAATCTTCACATTAGTTTGAAGATTTAGAGGAGTTTGATGTAAGGCTTTGAGTTTTGAGATTACCATCTTGCAGAAGCACACATGCTTTGGGTGTTGGCAGCTAAATTAGCAAATCTGCAGTTTGCTGCTTTGCTCTGTGAGCAATATCTGTCCTGAAATGAGTTCTGAGATCAGTCTCAATCAACTGAATATGAAACTCATGGGCAGGGCCAGATGGAATCTGCGGACGTTTTTTGCTACTTTTGCTGAGAATTTTGGTAAAAATCTGCAGATTTCTGCGGAATTATTTTGGGAGTATCCAGCGGAGTATTATAACTAAAACCTTAATATATTAAATAAAAAGTAATAAATTACTGAATAAAAACTGAATAAATTCAGATTTACACATTTACTCAAGTAAATAAACAGAATTAATAATGGGCTAAAAATCTGCGGAATTCTGCTGAAAATTGCGGAAAATCTGCGAAATTCTGCGCGCGCAGATTCCGTGTGGGCCTACTCATGGGATATGTTAATATGTCTCTTAGTTTATTTAGAATAACTTTAAATAAAACTAAGAGGCTTTGAAGTTTACGACACATAATAGACGTGCATGATATTATCAGAGCTTCGAGTTTAGATTCAATAAAAATACAAATGCTTTAAACTTTTATTTGATAAAACCATGTTGGACCAAGTGGCCACACGTTAACTCAGTAGTCAGCACTGTGGCCTCACAGCAAGAAGACCACTGGTTCAGTCCTGGCTGGATCAAATGGCATTTCAGTGTGGAGTTTGCATGTTCTCCCCGTGTTGGCGTGGGTTTCCTCCGGGTGCTCCGGTTTTCCCCACAAGTCCAAACACATGCGCTATAGGGGAATTGATGAACTAAATTGGGTGTAGTGTATGAGTGTGTGTGAATGAGTGAGTGTGTATGGGTGTTTCCCAGTACTGGGTTACAGCCGGAAGAGCAGACTCTAAATCATCAGTCCTCATCTTGCTGGATTTGTCAGCTGCTTTTGACACTGTAAACCACCAGATCCTGCTTTCTACGCTTGAGTCACTGGGCGTTGCGGGCACTGTTATTCAGTGGTCCAGATCTTACCTCTCTGACAGGTCATTCAGGGTGTTTTGGAGGGGAGAGGTGTCCAACCTACAGCATCTAAACACTGGGCTACCACAGGGCTCTGTTCTTGGGCCACTTCTGTTCTCCATCTGATGATACCCAGCTATACCTCTCTCTTCACCTTGATGATCCCTCGGTTCCAGCTCGCATCTCAGCCTGCCTGTCAGACATTTCACACTGGATGAAAGATCATCATCTTCAGCTTAACCTCACGAAAACAGAAATGCTTGTAGTTTCTGCCAACCCGACTCTGCATCATAACTTTTCAATCCAGATAGACGGGGCGACCATTACTGCATCCAAAATGGTGAAAAGCCTTGGAGTAACGATTGATGACCAACTAAACTTCTCTGAGCACATTTCTAGAACTGCTCGATCTTGCAGATTCACACTCTATAACATCAGAAAGATCCGACCCTTCCTATCTGAACATGCAGCTCAACTCCTTGTTCAAGCTCTTGTTCTCTCCAGACTGGATTATTGCAACTCTCTACTAGCCGGGCTTCCAGCTAACTCTATCAAACCTCTTCAACTGCTCCAGAACGCAGCAGCACGAGTGGTCTTTAATGACCCTAAACGAGCACATGTCACTCCGCTGCTCATCCATTTGCACTGGCTGCCAGTTGCTGCTCGCATCAAATTCAAAGCTCTGATGTTTACAAATCAACCTCTGGCTTTGCTCCTTCTTATCTGCTCTCACTTCTGCAGATGTATGTGCCCTCCAGAAACTTGCGTTCTGTGAATGATCGTCGCCTCGTGGTTCCATCCCAAAGAGGGAGGAAATCACTTTCCCGAACTCTCGCATTCAATCTGCCCAGTTGGTGGAATGAACTCCCTAACTGCATCAGAACGGCAGAGTCACTCGCTGTCTTCAAGAAACCACTAAAAACTCAACTGTTTAGTCTTCACTTCACTTCCTAATCTGCAATTGCCTCTCTGGCTCCACCGCTAACTGTACTACAAAAAATAAAAATAAATAAATAAAAATTACTAATGCTTTGCTTCTTACACTTTACACACCTGAAACTTGCCTACAGCACTTATTCATTGTTGCTCTCATAGTTGTGTAAATTGCTTCCTTGTCCTCATTTGTAAGTCGCTTTGGATAAAAGCGTCTGCTAAATGACTAAATGTAAATGTAAATCCAAACTTGCTTGTTAAGTATATGTGTTGCCATGTTTTACATTTATGGCCATTTTTCACCATGCATGCTCTTAAATGCTCATACATTTTCAGAAATGCCTAAATGTTATCATGGGTAATTATCAGGTTTTTGCCTTTAGTTCCAAAAGAAATACATTTTAAAAACATTTTATTCTATTTTTTGTCTTAATTTAAAGTGTTAGAAAAATAAAAGTAGTCATATTATCTTTTAGAAGTTTAGTCACATCTATATTAGAATAAACATTTGAACATAATTGATGTATTTTAGTAGATTAGTTGTCATTACTGTAATAACAAATGATCAAATCTTAAACTTTTTAATGGATTGTAGTATTTGCATATATTGTCTATAAATGAATATGTCAACAGACATTTTTGGTAATATTTTAAAATACATGTTGCATAGTGGAGAAATATGACACATTTTAATATCAGTAAAATCCAAACATCAGCTTGTGTGTTGAGTATGTGATTTAGATATATTATGTTTCTGCATGTCCATTTTTTAGCATGCATGCTCCTGAAATGCTCATACATTTTCGAAAAATGCATAAACGTTATTATTAATAATGCTCTGTTTTTTGTTTTTGGTTGCAGCTTGTAAACGTCGGGAAAATCCTGAGGGTGAGTTTTGCATCTGACACAGTTTTGAATCTATTTCTGTAAAAGCTAAAATGAACTCTTTCTCCATTTCGGAGCGTTTCCTAATTTCCTTTGCATTTTCAACCACTTCCAGGAGATAGTTTTGTTGTGAATGGCTTCATTGCAAAAAGAGCAGCTGAAGAGAGTGAGCGATACGGCAACAATCTGAAAGATTATAAGGTAAGAAACATCTGGTTTTGTTCATTTGCTTCATATCTCAGTCCTGGTATCTGTTTTTGGATCTTTCCTGAAAAAGCCACCTGAAAAAGAATGTTGAGCATTGAACATTATGCAAAACATAAAGAGTCATTTGCATGTTGATAATGTATTCTGATATGCATAAAGATTTTCAAAGGATGCGTGCAATTTGGGCCAAAGTGCATAAAAATACACAACAATAACTGATATTTAACAAAATTTCGATTTTGCATTGTATTATTTAAGGTATGCATGCAGTTTTGGACCTTTATTTTTCCTTGCTGTAAATGAGGAGATGGTGTTGTGTTTTAGGGATACACTTTTTGTATAGGTGAAAATATGATTGGTGATTTATGAAAGGAATGTATATAACCTTGAAAACACATTGGTACCACCTTCTATGGTGTTGCATTAAGAATTTTGTTTCACTGACATGTTGAGATGAAAATATATCAGTATGTTATGGCGTCATATTTTAGTGCCTGTGTGTTCTGTAAATTAGGATGTCCATGATGGTTTTTGAGTATTGATACTAGGTGCCTATGGACTTTGGACATCTGGTGTTGCTCCTCTTCATTGATCATTATTGATCTTTATACTTTATTATTAAAGGCATGCATGCGTTTTTGGGCCCAAAAATGTGGTTTTACCAATGCAATCTCATGGCAATTCGTAACTTTTTAATTTAGTGGCTAATTCGTACAATTTAGTTCGATTTGCTCATCACCCAATGACGGTTGGGGTTAGGCAGGGCCGGCCGTGGCATAGGCAGTGTAGGCAAATGCTAAGGGCGCTGTACATCCAGGGGGACGCCAGAAATAAGCACAATTAAGTTGGTTTTGTTTTCGGTATTCCTGACACGTTCAGTGATAGACGGCAATAACTCATAAACCTCTTACCCTAAAAGATCTAAAGTGTGTTTCCTACAAAAAGGCAAAGCTGGTTATGTTTCACTGCTGTCTTTTTCTCTTTTTTTTCGCTCAACATTACGAGTACTGCTCCATTTAAGCCCTCGCCAATATGCGTTCAGCCGAGAGAGCTCGCGCCGAGCGGAGGTCTTAGCAACTTAAGGGACCGTCGGAAAAGTGCTTCTTTTTTTCTTTTTTGCCTCTGTCCTGCGTGTTTTATTTTAAACACTACTAATTTTCTCTTAAATGAGCACAAACACAGTTACTAAAGTAGTCGAATGCTTCATTATAGATCTGTGCATTCTTACATGAACACCTCTGTTATCAAACAAAACACAATGAGAGATTCACTAGCTGCTCTTTACTAAATAACTACAGTAACTTTAATCAATATGCAAATACAATTAAAAGTGAAGTAGATTTTACAGCTTTATTAAATTTCTGGATAGGCCATTGATTTTAATAGGCTAAACCTTTTATTTTATTGTCAATATTTTCTAATGTTTGCAATGTATTCCATCATTTGAAGCTATTTGTTGTCCCATATTTTTTACATCCAACTTTGACAGATTGCTAATCAAAAAATAGCTATAGTGCTGTCTGTTAATGTTAACGTCAGCTTATGTTATTGAAGGGCATAGATGTTATGGAAAATGGTAATAGTAAAGTAACTATCCCATCATTCCTTCCTCAAGCAAATGTGTAAATATTAGATCTATTCAGCAATAATGTTAATTGCATTGGCATATTTATCTGACGTTTTCCCAGCTTGTAGTAGTCGATCAAAAAGCTATTTAGTTTCTTATGACTATACACTAGCAGTGGAATTTACTGCAATGTGACGGGGCGCCACCTGATATCTTGCCTATGGTGCCAAATTGCTTAGGGCCGGGCCTGGGGTTAGGGGTGTGGTTAGGTGCCACGCCTTCTTTATAAAATCGTATATTTTTGTATGACTGAACTTATATGAATTAGTACGAATTAGCCACTAAACTGACAAAACATGAAAAAATACTCACGTTTCCTCGTGAGATCAGGCTGGGTTAACGCATCTTTATTTTTCCTTGTTGTGAATGAGGAATTAGGTTTTGTTGTGTTTTTTCGGATGCATTTATTTATAAAAGTGAAAATATGATTCATGATTTAAAGAAATGAATGTATATAAATATGGGTGCCATCTTTTCTGATGTTGCATTGAAAACTTGTTTCACTTTCATGCAGTGATGAAAATTATATGAGTATGTTATGCTGTCATATTTTATTGCCTGTGTATTCTGTATATTAGGATGTCCATGGTGTTTTTGGAGTATTGATAGGTGCCAATGAACTTTGCACTGGGAAAGAGCTTTGTTCAAAAACCTTTTGACACTTTTGACACTTTTTGATGTCAGGTAATGCAAGAATAAATATATTAAAGATGATTTAAGCCCTGTGTAATTGCGTGCAGATTTCACTTTGGATTTTTGTACTTTGTTTGGATCTGGACTGGATAAAATGCTTTTTAAATGTTGGATGTCTTAGCGCTGCTCATTCTTTAGGGATTTTGATAATGCATAAAAATACCCCTCACTAACTGATCTGAACAGTTCATTGTATTCTTCAAGGCATGCATGCATTTTTGGGCTAAATATGTGGTTAATGCATGTATATTTTTCCTTGATATGAATGAGGAACTGACTTTGTTGTGTTTTTGGGATGCATTTATTTATAGAAGTAAAAATATGATTTGTGATTTATGAAACATAAACATTGGTATCATATTTTATGGTGTTGCATAGAGAATCTTGTTTTTTACTGACATGTTATAATGAAAATATATGCAAATTTTATTGCCTGTGTATTCTGTATATTAGGATCTCCATGGTGTTTTTGGAGAATTGTTAGGTGCCAATGAACTTTGCACTGAGAAAGAACTTTGTTCAAAACCTTTTGCACTCTTGCACTTTTGACACTTTTTGACCTCAGATACTGCAAGAATAAAGATCTTAGAGGTGATATAATCCCTGTGTAATTGATTTCACTTTGGATTTTTTGTTCATTATTTGGATCTTGACTGGATGATTTTTAAATGTTGGACCCCTGGTGCTGCTCCTCTTCAGGGATTTTGATGCATTAATAATACACAATGCATTCAAAATACACATCACTAACTGATATGAAGAAGAGTCTGGAGTTTGCAGTGCTTTTCATTATTTAGAGCATGCATGCAAGGTTGGGCCAAAAATATGGACAAAATGTTGGACCAATATTCAGAATAAGGGAACATTCCCAAATTCAATCCCATAGTGTTTATCCTCATGTTGCGGTTGTAGAGTATAGGCAAGAAAAACTCTTCACCATCTCTGTGCCAAAACCCACATTCCCACACTCCAAATAATTATTTTTGTTGCTTACTCAAGCTACTTATTAAAAATGAGTTGAAGTAACACAATTCCAGATATTTTTTTAAGGAAAACTAAATTGTTTTATGTTCAATCTACTTAAATTAGTTATGTTAACTTGATGGATTTGTGTTCAATCCACTTAAATTAGTTATATTAACTTAATGGATTTGTGTTCAATCTACTTAAATTAGTTATATTAACTTAATGGATTTGTGTTCAATCTACTTAAATTAGTTATGTTAACTTAATGGATTTGTGTAGGCTCAATATGATTTAATTGTGTGGACTCCTGCAATTGTTTTAGTGCACTATGACTGTGTGATATGAGTAAAATCTCATAATATAAGTCTGTCAGGGTTGGTGAGGGGAAATGGGGAAAAAGGAGCGAGGACTCAAGTGCAGGAAAATGGGGAATTTATTAATTAATAAACATAAAATAAAATGCAAAATAAACTACCCCGAGGGGGAAAACATTAACAAAACAAATACATACACAAACAAACTTCACTGGGCTGGCTGGTAAGGAACAGGACTGGAAACATGACAAGACAAGGGTTCAAACAACAACATGTGATGACGAACTGGCACAGGACAGCAAATGTGAGGGGTTTATAAACTGTAGAAAATTAACACACAAACAGGTGAACACAATTAACTAATAATGGATTAACAATGAGGGTGGGACAAGACAATAGACGGGAGAGCGCATGACACAGAGAGACAATACAAGCCATGCGCTCACTTAACAGGACAAGAACATGCAGCCAATGAGAGAACTCATTAACCGCATGTTCATGACAATAAACACAACACTGAAGCACACAACAAAAGCACACTCTGCGTACACCCACGACGGCGCGCGCGCACACAGAGACAGAAACAGGACCAGACATGAGTAGTGTCAGAGCTCTGCCACCAAAACAAGAATTTACAAGACCAAAGTGGCAGAACCCTGACAAAGTCATCTTATGTCCTGATAATGCTATATATATATATATATATATATATATATTACTATTACAACTTACTAATAAAAGACCTTTTCTGTGAATTCAATCAATCAATAGTTTATATATGTTGATCACATGTAAAATGAATTCATTAATTTTTTTTCGGCTTAGTCTCTTTATTAATCCGGGGTCACCACAGCGGAATGAACCACCAACTTATCCAGCATATGTTTCACACAGCGTATGTCCTTCCAGCTGCAACCCAGTACTGGGAAACACCCATACACACTCATTAACACTCATACACTTCGACCAATTCAGTTCATCAATTCCCCTATAGCACATGTGTTTGGACTGTGGGGGAAACCGGAGCACGCGGAGGGAACCCACACCAACACGGGGAGAACATGCAAACTCCACACAGAAATGCCAAATGACCCAGCCGGGACTTTCCAGCGACCTTCTTGCAGTGCTACCCACTGCGCGACCGTGACGGCCCAAATGAGTACACTCCATTTGACCCGTTTCTCAGTGAATATAGGTCATATTTTGTATTATAGCCGTGCATGTTTCACCCAACGTTGCTTTTCAGCAACCCAGCGTTTTTAGAGTGTGTGCGGTTCATTTTGTTTTCTTTCTCGTTTCTCAAGCAGATTTTAGTCTCGCTCCACAGCCACACAATATTGCTCTTTTCTGACATATTTCATAAGCTGAGAAGGCTGACAGCTCTAACATGACTA